CTACTTTAGTCCTCTACAACTGATTAGCATGGGCACGCTCATACGCCGCTTTGGCTAATAGACCAGACAATTCCTCCTTGTTCATCCTACGTTAGCAGCCCTTCGGTCTTAACTAGGGATACCCTCATAAGCCTCGTTATACTCGTTTCCTCGGTGAACAAGTATGAGGAAGTAATTTTAATCAACCCATCATCTACTTCGTTCCTGATCGCCCCTTCTAGGGGCTATATGCCAAGGTTGAGAATAATCACTCAATATCCAAATCTGGTTGCTCCAACTTACATCTGGCTTAATTTCTAATAGATGGTGTTTTCTATGACCGCATGAGCGCTTCGCTCCGCCGCTTCTAACAGTTTTCAAAATAACTTTCTATTACTACTATTTGGGCTGTTCCCGCTATAAACACCATCTAATCTAAACTGGGTCAGGGCGTCACCCCCGAGAGTGAATCGAATGAGTTGATGAAATTCGATGAAACGTATAAGAAGCCTGACCCAGCTTCATTCGAAGCTTTATTCAATGATGGATATAGGAATTGAGTTTTCAATTTTAATTGCTCTTTATTTTCCCGCATCACGCAGGTTTCCCTAGAAACCCCATCTATTAGAAAACTTTTCAATTTTCCGGCAATTGATGAGAAAAGTTTTCAATTAGTCTTAAGCGGCTAGCGATTGATAATTAGTGAAGAAGTATTAGTAACTAGTTAAAAACTTTCAAAGATAACTAGGATAAATTGCGATACGCCCTGACCCAGTTGAGATTAGATGGTTAATTGATAGTAGGTCCTAAAAAGAGATATGAGTTGAATCAATGCTTCATTTATTATCCGGTATGGTTGCTCGATAGCTCAAAGCTTTTCGCTTTCTCCGGCGTTCGTCATAAATAATTAACTGAAACTAGCTACGGGTCCTCAAGGGACGCTATACAGGCTTGAGTAATAAAGCGACTTCATGAAATTCGATGATACGTATAAGAAGCCAGACCCGGCTTCATTCGAAGCTTTCTCAGATTTGCTTTTCTCTCTAGTTAACCTATCATACTAAATGATCCGGTCCTGATTAGATGGTCAGAATAGCACCTGGTCTAGGGCGGGCCCATAAGAGTGAGCCGAAAGAGCTTGCTGAGTGAGGCGATACGTAAATAGCCAGACCAGGTCATTCTTGGAAATTCTATATCTTATTCCTTTCTTAGGTTAATAATCAGCTCAGAGCTGTACTGAATAGGGTATTATAAGGAGTCAACTACTGCCATAGTTTTTGCGGAGACATATTTCATGATAAACCAAGCCATATTTATGGATGCAAACTATCTTTAGCACACATAATTTAGTTTATCATTATACGACTGTACATTTAATAATTCTGGTCAATCGTCAATTAACCGACGGTCTAGGATAGTAATTGACGCCTAGATTTAACCGTTAACACTTAAAATAGACCCGGATCGAATATATACTCAGTCTGTCTTTCGTTCGATCACATGCCCGCATATGTAGCTAGCTAAAATCAGAATCTATCTTCATCTGTAAAATAAGTCGAATAATAAACCAATTTATCTATTTTTCGATTTATACATTTATCATAGATTTCAATAGTTACTTTATTTAACATTCTGTTTGTTGCTTAAGCCATTTTGCCATATAATGGCGAATGGGATTATACAACCTTGAGGCTTATTACGCGTGCTTTTACCAATGGTCAAAAGGTTAAGCTGGCTAACAAAAAACCAGCTAGCTCTAACTAAGCAATTATATATAGCATTCTTATATATATAAAGACTTTATCATTTCAATAATTCATACAGGATTTTATCTTCTCAAAGTCGTTGAACAGTTAAATATTATTAATTTAATATTGCTGTTGCTTATTTATGCCATTACCAGCACGTTTCAAGCATACATCTATTTTTATCTAATCGATTGATAAATCGTTTAGAGAACTTAGCTATAAGTTCGATAGGGATTTAGCCTCTAATCTAAACTCTTCTTAGAATCTTGCTACATTCCAGAAATCCTTAAGAAATTAGATCAAGCTGTTATATTTAAACAAAAGCGTAATGCTAAATAAATATTATTAAGGATAGACTATATCTTATACTCTGTTAAGCATAAATAGTAATAGTCGTCGCACAGTACAGGTGTCCAGGCAATATAATTATAGCCTCGTATAGACGCTAATAGCTAAATAATATAAATGCTAAGCCTTAGTAATATATCTTGTAGTCGTTTGGGTAAAGTTGTTAATTCTTGATCTATAAGGAGACCAAACAACTAAGCCATAGGGTCAAATCGATGCCGGATATTAAGAAGCCATAAATGCTTCCATCTAATGGTCTTTTCCCCATTATAGATAGAAATTCTACTTACGAATATTCATAAGTTCGGTCCATTTAACGACCTGGTCTAGATAGGTTCACTTAGATTCGGGTCTAATCATCCTAATTTCTTTTCATTATATCGAATTATCGCGGCTTGATCAAAACCTTACTAGGAATGATTAACTTACTGCGATCTATTTTCTACTAGAAGACAGACTAGACCTTCAACTCATATAATAAAAGTGGTTTAAATCTATTAGCAATACTGCATCTAGGCTATTTCCCGAGCTTCATGTCTGCCATTTCGCGAGGATAAACTAAGCATAAAGATATATAAATTTATTTGATAGTGTCGCATCATATATAAAATAATCATATAATGGCTATGATGATGCGTTGCTTACCAAAGTCAATATAGTGTAGCTTCTCGAAATAAGCAATAAATCTATAAATGTAATAAATATTTACCAATAAGGATGCATAGCATATTATCTTATCCGCATATCAATTTTCTATTATTTCTTTATGCCATAATTGATAAATAGAAACACAGCAGTATCTAGCCTTTATTCTAATTTAAATTCACATATTCTTATCATAGTAATCATTGAGTGCTGGCGTGTTACCTTTATCATTTCAGATAAAAGTCATTAATAATAATAGTCGTTACAGGGCTAATCTAAAGACTTCTCGCCAATTATATAAAGCGAATAGATTACTACGATAGACAGCTTCCCACGGTATTTCCATACCCAGTCAGGGTACCAGGATTCACCGTTAGCTAAAATAATATAAGCCGTATATATAATACAGAATTTATATATAATAACCGCATATTAAAAATGCATGAGCCTGTTTTATTCCATATCTCGCGATATGAATTGGGCAAGTAATGCTATTAGCTCACCCATGATGCAATAGGTAGCCCTTTCCAATATCTATTGGTTAGGATCTGTTTCTTAGTTCTATTTTACTCCCCTTAGGGTTCTTGCTTCAACTTTCCCTCTCGGTACTCCTTTACGCTCTCACCATTTTATTCTACTCTTGCCTTGTCCTTTCACCCTTTTTTTATTAATCCTACAATATATTGTTAGAACAAAATAGGCCTAGAACCTTTCGCTCTTAACTACTAGGAGAGTAATTAGCATTCTTATCAACTACTTATATATCTAAATACATAGACTTTAATATAGAGGCTTTTACCTATCGATACAGTAGATCTTTAGACCATTATGGAAAAAAGACAATTCTAAATAACTTTGGTAGTATCTCCTCGATTAATAAAATGGATAGTTATCCCCAAATCCCCCTTTTTATTGCTATCGACCCCCATTATATAGTTAATATCTCTTCTTATCCTATCTTTTTTCTAATCGTATAATAACTAAGCAAACTGTATTTACCTAGGCCACCCGGGCTATAATATTCTTGGATTTTATCACAAACATAATAATTCTATAATCTAAGATAAAATAAACAATGTAATATCCAAGAGTTACCCCTACTCGGAAACAATAAAATATAATCTGATGGCAAATATCTAAATAAGCAATCAGAATGCAAAGCATATTATGTTATCTATTTATATGATGACGTTTTATTTATGAGTAGACGCATAAGCAAAACCATTTAAGCTACCACCAATATAATTATAATGGATATTTGAAATAGATGATAAGTGTTAAATAGGTAAGCAACTACCATTCCTATTTATGTGTTTTACATGGCTACCTCGAATGACCCTATTACATTGTTTTATCCCCAAATATAAGCTATCTAATCGTAATAAATGAATTAGAAATAATTAGAAAACAAAGCAATCGTCAAATGCTAGGGCCTAGGGGTAACCTATAAGAGCGACTTCCTATGTTCTCAAGCCTATCGATGGATATTCTAAATTTATTAAAAGCCCATATATTAACTATCGATTAATTGGACTTAAGCTCATCGATAGTTCCGCTATCTTATAAACTATATTGATAATATATTAAGTAATGCATATCGCCAAACTACACAAATCTGGATCTCGTGATTGATCTGATGACGTTTATCATAGATCTAGCTAAACCGTATAAGCCTTATTAAATCTATAATATTATATACGCTTATCTGAATATTGACTTGCTTGTCTTATAAAACTAGATATGATTTTTTCGCGATGCTAGGCTCATAAATGGGTTCTAAACGATTAATAAACAAGGCGCCGGAGCATATTATTGGATTATGAAGCAGCTGACTCGATAGAAGCCTTATCATATGATTACACGGGAGGTATTTGGGCCCGCTAATATTGCCATATAAAGAAGGAGCCTGGCATATACAATTTAGATGACCTAGTAGGCTTAGCCAGCAGCTTGCTTACCCGGATAGGTCTCGCGTAGGCTAAGTATTAATAAGTTTTATAGATTATATAATAAATCGTAACCTTGTGGCTAGCTATAGCACATAAGAAGTAAAAATCTTATCAGGAATTGACGCCTATCCATAAATAATTTAGCCTGTTATAACACATAATGGATAAGATTAACCGATCTGGATTGATTTAGATATTTTGCTTGGTATCCCGAACTATCTAATATAATTACCGCTTATTTAAATTTGAGCTGCTGTAAGCTAAGCATTCTATTGGAAAAATAAATTGATGATAAGACTTATATATGAGCTTAAGCTATAGCCAAAGGCCTTCCCCCTGGCAGGACTCGAACCTGCATATAACGGTTTGAGAGACCGCTGAGTCTACCAATTCCTCTACAGGTAAGTCATTTAAATAATCTGATCTTTGTCATAAACTAAAAAAATAATAATAATAATTTACGTGGCTATATAGCCGATCTAAGGCCATAGGGGCGATTGAGACGATTATTGACCCCCTATGATATTGGATAAGAGAAGCGGGCCAGGCCTAATATAGCAATTGGCTATAAATTCTAACATATAAGAATATAACATTTATCATTAGATATGATATCACAAGAACCTTAAGCCTCTAAATATCTGGTTATTACGAATCGACTGTCAACACCCCAATTTAGAAGCTATGGGGAGGGTTGGAATCGAACCAACATTGGTCTACAGACCATGGATTTACAGTCCATTGCATGACCATTCTGCCACCTCATTTTTCTTTATTATTATAAATCTTTTATTAGACATAAAAAGAATAGAGAAGGCCAATCCAAGCTACCTGGAAAACCAAGCGACTAGATAAAAATAAGGCTTATAATAAACAACCTCATTAAATATCTTTAGCCAATTCTGGTTTGATTGCTCGATTACAGCGGTGTGATTATAAGAGAGCAATAGGGCTATTAACAAGGATCGTTTTAATAAAACATTAACAATATAATATAAAGAAATAGGGGATATTAGTATTGGAAACAGCAGTATCATGCAAGGATGAGATGATCCCTTCTTAAGCAGAGCAATACAGCCTTATCCGGAGGCTAGACGACATGGCTTGTGGCCTGCTTCTAGACGATAAATTCGCTGGAGAACTTATTAAACGGCGGTTTAAGAAGAAGGATAGGTTAATGCTGCTGACTGGACTGATCATATAAGCATTAATATGAGTTGAATAAGCAGCTATATATCCGGATAAGAATAATAAGCCCCTTCTCGGTAAATCATAAAGCTCAACCCTATTTACAATAATTTTGTTTAGCTGTTATACATAAAGCTAACCGGATAAGAACTCAGCAGTCTGTGGCAATGAATAGGTTAGGCATTTATTGCCAACTTATAAGCAAGATATATTAATGGTTATACCTATATATATATAAATAATGATAAATAGATAACCATTCATGATAAGCGGCTTCTGGTTATACCAATATATATAATATATCGATCATATAAGCCGAGTCTACTAACCCATAAGATAATTAATATATGTATCATTAAATAAAATTACTATGACCATAAATAAGCCTCTAAGCAATCTGTGAATCACTACCGAGCATATATAGCGGATATTAGCAATCCTACATCTAAATAAGCCTATTGGGTTCTAAATAGCAAGCCCTAAGTAGTTTATTAAGATATTCTATTTATATTATCGCGATTTATCAGATGTTACACTCTACTAATCATAAATATAGGCTATTCACATTATATAAATATATATCGAGCAAATAAATAGCAATCCTTATGTAGGGTTATATGGGATCTAATAGCAGAATTCTTAAGCTGTAGATCTGATGAGGCTCTTAGGATCGGGCCTTCTGCCCCCTATGTTACATCTAATAAATTGATAATCTGTTATATATTCTATGACGAATTAGAAGCAATAAGGTTAGCGACCATACTACCCTATTCATTGGTAATACCAATCTTCTAGCAATATAATATTTCGATAACAGCATCTAATAATACAGATTATTTGCGATCATATCCAAGCATAGGATATATTAAAGATCCTATGAATTATGTAGCGCTCGGCCTGATCGCGGCTGACCATCGTTACATTCCGTTGGGCCCCGATTATAGTATTACACGTGGTCGCATGGGTCGATACTTAGTAGGCTGCTAGCTAAAGATTAATAATAGCTCATATTTTTACCAATAGTCTTTATACTAGCTTAATCTTGTTTGATATCAATAATTTTTAATTATATTTAAACTATGTGATAAAAAATCAATTTGTGTTAAATAAGGAAGCTAAATTCGTACCCCCTATTAATCGAAGAGGCGCTATTTGATTACTGGGATAAAGAGTTCTAAATCTCGATTACTTATATGGATATTTATGACCGATCTAACATATTTTTAGGGACCCAGCTAAGATTGATTAGATTAATAATGAGCAATTTGGCCCATAGCATTAATGCTAAATAGATAAGGAATTGTCAATTATTATTACAAAAGCTAGATATTAATTTAGCGGCTTTATTAATATCTGAACATTGGGACAATATAATTAAACCATTATAGAGATTACTCGCATACCAGATTCAGAAGAGGATCTAGTTAATTATTAATAGAAAGTTAGACCAATAACTGAAGAGGCTGGGTCCCATAAGCTTTTAAAAATAGTAATGGTAGTTGGAAAACCGCCCGCCAATATGCTAATCAGCGTCAGATACTTTAAATAACAGCCAGTAACAATATAAACTAGCCAACTTACTGCATAAATATGCAAGCAACAACTTCGCAAATGCTCGTAGATCATAATATCCTTATGACAATTTTGTAAGAATTACATTAAGCTATGATTCGCTAATAGGCAATATGTATACAGGTAACTCGGGTCTTCGGCCTCCCTACGATCAGCTTCAGATAGAATTTCTTCTATTTTTTAATAAGCAGCCTAAAGACTATAAATAGAGACATAATCCATATAATGATTATACGTACTCAACCGAGTACAAGCACAGCAGCGAGGCGGAGTGCCAAAGGCCCTCCTTGAATAATATATTAATGGGCGCCTTTGGCGTCTCCCTATCCAGATATTAGCGAGTAACCCATGGTCGGCTACTCTTAATCTAATAAGTATATAAAGCTTATTTATTTTACCTCCCTACGATCGGCCCTTTCCGAACCTATGTAACTACTCTTTTACTATTTGTAGGCTATAATAGAATATATCTCCGGTCTATTCATCAACTAATTAGAGCTCTATTAATCGGCTTATTGAATACTATATAATAGCCTCTTTGTTATCTTCCGCTGTAGCTATATTAATCGACCATCTATCTTATATTTAAAATAGATCAGGCATATATGTTCTAATCATTATTTTAATTAATCTAATGATACGATCCTCAATATATAGATAAGGAATACAAGTAAATATAGCTAGAATTAATGAAATATAAGACTATTATCTACTCAAGGAATTATCTCTAATCTATTGACGTTAAGCTTAAGCATAAATAAGTTAGTAATTTCTGTTAACTATCGTCTAATCAGCCCATTGTCATTTAAACTATCGAATATATATTCACAAGGCTAATCAGCTGCTATTTTTAGTTATATGAACATACCATACGATCCATTATATTGATCAGCTATTAATATATAAGCATAAAGATATACATATATTTCGGGCATAGATAACCAGCAGCATATATATCTTTCTTAGGCATACTATTAAACTTCTCAAACTAGCTAGATCTATTTTCGAATATCCTTTTAATCGCTCTATATATTTGATCAGCAGTTAAATAAGAACCTATCATCTATATTATCCTATGTAAGATCTTTAGCAGAATAAGTTTATATATTAAAGCGCTCGGGTACCGTCCGTGGCTGCCCGACGTTTGCTACTCCTTGCCTCGCGCTTAAAGTCTTACAGTTAATTATATGTCGGAAGGGGATGCTTTCTCCACCATTAAGTCATCTAAATCCTATCTTGGTAATAGGTGGTCAATTTATCAGGTAATAAAATAAGCCTCATCAGTAACCATTTACTTTATAACATTTATATCTATTAACTAGATGTTTAATAAACAAGTTAACCTGTTATGCCAACTACATATTATTAATCTAATAACCTGTTCTGAGGCTATAATAATATTTTAGGCATCCCTCTGATCGGCCCCATGTCTACTAATTCTATTCCCCGCCATTATTTATCATCTATTAATTATACCGTATCTGAAGGATGGTCTATCTAATTACATGGTATCCGAGGAAGGGAAATAGATCTAATCACTTAGTGCCCAGGCAGCGCGCGTTAAGTCTATCTATTTATTGATATCTAGAGAGGGTTATCACTCTATTTATCTCTCGAAATAAATACTTAAAGCACCCATTAGAATAAGCATCCCTATATAATCATCTATTCGCATTACTAAGCAAGCATAAATAATCAATTAGAATCTCCTATCTAAACTAAACAATATCTTAATTATCCCCCAAAGCATCTCTAGCATAGTTCTCGTAATCCTTTATGATTAGAACTACCAGTGTACATCTAGTGATCAGCGGCCTGGTCATATTCCTGTTACTATATATAATATTTGCATTCGAGCCTTATATTATAAATCAATTTACCACCCATACATTAATTACCCTTATTGGATATATCTTATTACCATTTATATAAAACTATTACTACCTACCCTTGGATGGATGTCGGGGCACTATATCGATTATACCGAATACTAATACGCCATCATAATTAAGCTTAAGCATAAATCTACTATGATGGCATAATCTGATTACTGCTGACAAAGGGGTCGGTCAACTTCCACTATACCAGCCTTATAAATTCTGCCCCTATCTTGAATAATAGATTATATTTATTCCTCTATAATCCATCCTGGTTATTAACTGGTCTATCTATTAAGCATCAGCAGGATATCTGGGGAGATTAATCTACTTCGTTACCGATCCTATTTATCTAATCTTTCCCGTAATACCCGTTATCTGATATGGGTATCTTTACCAATGGTTATCTAATTCTAGGACGGCACCCTAAATCTAATTTATCTTATGGTCTCCTGTTAGTCGGCCCCCTACTCTTAATCTAATAAGTAAATCCTATATTTATTAGCCAATATATTTTGCCCCCCTATAATAGCAGTTAACATCCTCTAGTAATAACGATCAGCTGATATTTATCTACATATAAATATACTATAAGCAGCAAGAAGCTTATGGTATTAATATCGTTCCCAACTTCGATATATATAATATACGCTTTATATTCATACTAAATTGGTTATATATAATAGATATTCGATCCCCTATTTATTTTTAGCTTACATCTAATTAACTAGATTCTCTAATTAAAACATCCATAGCCTTAGAAGTAAATCGTAGCCAACCATAGGAAGGGCATCGTGATAAGATTGACTTAGGTAAATACGATGCCCCTAATAATATATAGCCTCATAGTAGTCCCTGGTATAGCATTAGATCCAGTATCCAGATAGTTTAATAACCAGAATAGTAAGGTATCCATATAATTCTATAAATAGATCATAAGATTGACGATTAGATACGCCTAGAAGGAAAGGATACAGGTATTTAAAAATTATAATTAATAGTATTATTGTAGCCGAATGTCGCTCCTTCTTAATATATGTTAGCGTCAGCCTTAACTGAATAATAGATTCGATAGTTATTGATTACGTATATTAGATAAATAATTATTGCCGATAGATAGATAAGAA